CAAACATTCTTTTTTGCATTTTATTGTTGACTTATTTCACTGAAGTCCAGGCACAATCTCTAGATGAGATAGTTCATTGGACACAGACTAAAAACCCTTAGTCATTTTGCAAGTTGAGAATTTCAGGACCCACTCAGATCATGTGACAGCATCAGTTCTATGTCCAACCCTCTGCTGAGCCATGAAGAAATTATAAAGATGACACATATTCCCTGTCTCTTAAGCCAGTGAAGAGTCGTTGAATGTCTACCACACGCCATGGATTGTGAGGACAGACGTGACAAAGACTCCCTGCCCCCGAGGAGCTCACACTAGATATCAGCAATTACATGCAAGAAAATAAATGCACCATCTGAAATAGATACAAGATATTGTGTGTGTTGGGAGCAGCAGGGGTGTAAGGTGGGCTAGACAGTGTTTCCTAAAAGTGGGTCTGAAGTGTACTGAAGGACTAGGGAGTATGTGGAAAGGCCGAAATGAGAAGCAGAGTTCCAGACAGAGGTAGCGGTAAGTACAAAGGCATACAGGTAAAACAGGGTACATTTATGAGAAGTTAGTTAATTTGGCAAGGCATTGTATCAGGGGATGCTACGTAGGAAGGAAAGTGGCTGGAATTCCAAGAAAAGAGCTGAGGGAGAAGCAGGCATGTCAGAGATCTCAGTTTTATCTTGGAAGCTATAGGGAGATGGCAATAGATTTGCCTTTTTAAAAATGTAATCATGGAGGGCCTCCCCTGGTGGCGCAGCAGTTGAGCGCTGGGTTGCGAGGCTGCCGGCAGCCTCTGCAGCGCCAGTTCGATCCCCGGCCACTGGCGAGGGTCCCACAAAAAATAAATAAATAAATAAATATGTAATCATGGAAGTGTGGAAGATGGACCAGAAAGGGTATGAAACAGTTAGATGAAAGGCTTTTGCTATAACTGAAGGCAAGAGGGCCTGGGTCAATACAGAGACACTGAGAGGGTAAAGAGGATGAAGAATAGAGAGCTGATAGGAGGTAATCTTTAGTTGTATGGGGTAAAAGTTAAGGTAGGCTCCCAGAGTTCTGAACTGAAGAGCTGATCAGATAGTTGGGTCATTCACTGAGCAGGGCCCCAAAGAAAAATAGGTGTGAAGGGAAATATAATGTGGTCAGGTATAGACCACCTGAATTCAAGATGACTCACCTGGAGTTGTCCAATGGGAAACACAAGGACCTGGAGCTCAGCAGCACAACGAGCCAAAGAAAAAAATATGGTCATTGAAGCCATGAGCTGCATAAAATTTCCCCAGGAAGAATCTGTAGAGTGTGAGAGAGAAAGGGCCCAGGACAGAACCCTAAAATTCACAGTATTAGAACGCTTTCTAGGAAGATTCCAGAAAGAAGAAAATAGGCAAGCAGGAGACCCAAGCCAAGATGAGAAAGATTCAAGAATTGGGGAATGATCCACAGAAAGTTATGGTGCTGTCAGAGAAGTTATAGTCCATTTGGGAAGCCATTGCATCTACAGGTGAAGAAATAAGGTAGAAGAGTTGTCCATGACTGTACTTGATTAAGCACCCAGATAGGGATAGTGGATAAGATATGGACAAAAAAGCAAGAATGGAATTGACCTGAAACATGATCAAGATAATTGGACTTCATTGGGCCAAAAAAAATTCATAAGAGTTGAAACCAGAAGAGGCTGGTTTCAACTGAGGCGATGAGATTTGTTCCAATCTATCCTCATGCCTTGAAAATAGCTGAAAGTGGATTTTCTATTACAGTGGTCAGCAGAGTCATCCTTGAATAGTGACGGTTCCCACAGTTCCCTCTTTTAGTTGTAAGAGTTAAAATGACTGTTGACTAAAGAGTTTAAAATAAAATTGGGTACAGCATTACCTGACATCTTGTATAGGATTAAGGAAGTCATGACAAGAAAGCAGTATTCTGAATGCAGCAGGTGTTCATTTCAGAAACAGATGTGACTAGCTTTGAGGATATCATGAGGGTCAATTACAATGAGAAAAAACAAGTCCTGGTTATATACCCTCTTAATTTTATGGTAGCTGATTCCTGGCTGTGATGTCATAGATGCCCTGCTCTATCTTTTCCCTAGCCACTGGGAGTTAAGCTCTGGGTATGTGTAAGGAAGCAAAAAAGGAAAGAGATTTTCTTGTGGCCCTCCCCCGCATTCCTTTGTGTCTTCCAGTCCTAATCCATTTCCCATTCCATCCCATTGGAGTCTTCCTTTTTGAGAGTACTTACTTTGCAATGCAGCATGGCCTGTAACTCTGCATTTACCAAGAAGAATATCTTGAGGACAGAACAATCAGATGTTACCTTGGGAAATAACCTGTCAAAACCTATCTGTGCTACCTCTCATCCCCCATGCTTCTGGCCTGTACCCCAGTTCTTATATGCTTAAATAAATCATATAAATAAATCATATTTTTTAAATAAATAAATCATTTAAAAAAAAAAAACTATCTATGCTAGCCTGCTCACAATTCTGTCATAGTGATTGTTCCCTTGACCAACACCATATCTGCAAAGGGCAAACTACAGAAAGTTCACTGGCAAACCAGTTTCCAGTACTAGCCGCGTCATTTCCTGAGTGATACCATCTCATGCAAGCCACTTAAACTCAACTAGCCTGTCTTCTCTGTAGAATGTTTGTGGCAATCAAGTGAGATCATGTGTGTGAAGGTGCTCTATGATTTCAAAAAGTTAGACAGTAGTGATAGGCTACTACATAGTCATGAGTATGTGTGAAAACAAAGGGGAGACTGAGATTTCTCCTTCCAAATCTGTTCTAAAGATAGAGGCCTTCCAGTCCAACCATTGCATTTAATCTGATTTCCCCAGAGCCTCATCTCCTCTGGTCCCTTCGAATCTGTGCTGATTTATCTTGTCTTACATAGTGCTTGACACAAGTGAGTAATACTAAATTAACTCCATCCCCCTTCCCTCAATGCGCAGTGGAAGCCCTTGCAATCCACCCCTGAAGAAGGAAAATGGAAGACAATTTACCAAGTACTTCCACTGGGCAGGCACTTTCTTTGTCTGAGATTCTTTGCTACAAACCACACGCTATTCCCACTGAGGAGAAATTAAAAAGCCTTTGCAGCTGAGACCATTAGAAATTACATTTCTATTAAAAGCTGTCTGTGGCTAGATGGATCCATCCCAGGAACAAAGTTAAATGATGTAATAAACTTGTTCAAAGACATAAAGCTATTACATAAAAGGCCATTAACTATCTTCCACTCAATGTTAACAAAAGATATTGTTCTTTTGGTTGTCATATTAGAGGTTGCTGGTTCTGTGAGTTCTGCCTCGGCCAGGTCTTCACTGTTGAATTCTGTTTCCCAGTGCGGCAAATGGGATGGCAAGGGTGTGACCATCTTCAACTTTCTCTGTGTCATCACACATGAATTCAGGAGCACTAAGTTTCTTCTAAGACATGTTTCTGTCACTGTTTTCTATCTGCTTTTAAGTGGGCTGAGGCCCCATGTTTCCTATATTCTCACTTAATCGGGTCCATAGGTTCTTGGAAATTTAGACTTTAAACTAAGTGATATGTAACAAAAGTAGGTCCTTATAGGGTAAATGGTTTTTAGGCTTTTCTGCCCTCCCACAGTTAGGATTGCCCTGCCTGATGGGGCACCTGCAGTTGTTACATTGTTGTGTTATTTACTTCTGTGGACCATGGGAGGAGTATTGAGATAGTTACCAAGAGAAGCAGAAGCAGAAGCAGAAGAGGCAGAAGAGAGAAGGGGAGATAGAACACCTGAAGAAAGAGAGAGAGAGAGAAGCCTTGAGTAAAGACTTGCTGGGGGCTTGGAGGCCTGCAGGCCTCCTGGCCCCCCAGCACCCCGGCCTGCCATGTACCTGTTTGCCACACTACATGTAAAGCTCAATAAAAGCCTAAGAAAGCCACCGAGGGCTCCAGGACTCTCCTTTACCCGGTCTACGGGATCAGAAAACCTGCCCTGTGGCCATCCTGGCAGCACAGTCCTCAAATAATATCACTTCTTCCATGTCAAATCCATTTGCTTTTTCTCATCAATTGTTTATGAAACAATGTTAAATGAAAATTGTTATTCAGGTACCTGCTATATTGGAGATCAGAGGCAGGGAGGACCAAGCACCCAAGTCAAAGCCTCAGATTCAAGGTGTGGAATCAGTGCATCTACTCTGAACTTCGAGATTAATTCAGAGCTTCTCACATGGAACATACATTTAGGGATGAAGGGAATATGGAGGAAATTGGAAGGGAATGGAAGTAATATGGAAGGGAAAAGCCAAGAGGCATACAGAGCATTGTGCCCACAAAAATTCTGTGTCCCCAATATCCCTGTGGTTATTTACTTAAACCCCAGGTCAAAAGAAAATTCACTTGGGCCTCCCCAGTGGCGCAGCGGTTGAGTGCTGGGTTGCAAAGCTGCCCGCAGCCTCTGCTGCGCTGGTTCGATCCCCAGATGCTCCCCGGCCACCCGAGGAGGGTCCCACATGGTGTGCAGACCTCTCCTGCCGCCCGCTGCTCCCCTCAGCAGTGTACTTCGGTCCTTCTGCCTGCTCTGCTCCCCGCTCTGGCTCTGGTGAATTCTCTCACCCTCAAGCGCTTCTGACTGTACCCAGTGCTTGTATAAATAAATTAATTAAAAAAAAAAGAAAATCCACTTAAGATTTGTCTTGTTTAACTTGCCTAATTCTATGAACTTGTAAGGATTTTCAATTCAAGTCCTAAACCTACACAGGTCCCGTTCTTTTGAGCCTCACCAGACACAACGCCAGTGAGTGAAATGAGTGCTGTGCAGGCATTGGGGTGGGAGAGAAGCTTTCAGTGCTTGCCCAGGTCATGTCTTCCTACCAGTGAACCAGTCAGGCCACGTCAGGAGAAATGTTGGCTTGTTCCCTTGACACTCAAGGCCTTTCTATGGTGTGACCTGCCCTGCTCTCACAGGGTGCTCATCCTTGGCAGGGGTCTGTTGCTATAGGCCCAGCCAGGTTCTGATGCTCTTGCTGTCCTTATTCAGGAAACAGCATCCTCCATTCAGCGGCTGACAGCGTGACCAGTGCTGTACAGAAAGCGAGCCAGGCCTTGAATGAGCGTGGGGAGCGGTTAGGCCGAGCTGAGGAGAAGACAGAGGACTTGAAGAACAGCGCCCAGCAGTTTGCAGAAACTGCACACAAGGTGGGTCCTGCAGAAGGGCAAGGGTCTGTATTCTGGGTTGTCAGGGAGTGTGGGTGCCAAGAAGTTTGTTCTAGTATGTTCCCGATTATGAAGATACTAACTCAAGCCCTGTTTTGTTTTGTTTTGTTTTTTTGTTCCTTTACACAGTTCCCATCTGCTACTTAATACTAGAGTCATGGCTAATTTCTTCTAGGGCCTGTTTCTTGAGCTACTTAGTAACATTTTCATCCCCATCTCTGACCTTAGCATATTGGGAAATTTGAATCCTTTTTAGTTCTTGCCTACAAGTTTAGAGCTCAAGTTTCAGGGAACAGGATGGGAGTGGTGTGGGATATCAGGTCTCACAACCTCCCTCTTCCCTAGGTCAATCTCAAAAGAGGACTTTGTGCTATTCTTTCTTTCTTACTTACCTTAGTGTCCCCTTCTGGGCTTGAGCCCAGCATCCTGTGTCTTCACTACAGGAAGAGTAGGCTCCAGCCCCAGGGCACAGCACCCCTCAGGGTTCGTTTTAGGGTCATGGGTCTGCAAGGCAGAGCTGACTACTGCAGATCTGCCTATGAGGTTCCTCCTGCTTCTAAACCCAGAAGCTGACATGTCGCATGTGACTGTGATACACATGCGCGCACACACACACATTCCCTAAAAATACAGCTTTCAGAAGGGGAAAAGGGAGTTTTTATTGGCAGCCAGCTATAAGGAGGAAACAGAGGGCCTGTTGGTCAGGTGATAAAGAGGATTTATTACTGTTCTGGTGCTTCAGATCACAGGGCAGTTCTTTTCTGGCTAGTGATTCAAATTTAGGTTTCCAGAAACAACTTCTGCAGATAAGTGTTGGCATCCCAGACTCAGGCACTGGCTCTTCAGATACACTTTTCAGGTGACCTTTGGGGGAAAAATTAATTTGCTTCAACAGAAAACTCTGCTTCTGCTGAAGTAACAATAATGCATAATCTGGAAAGAAAAGAGAAAAGCTGACGCTCAGGCCCTACCATGGATCCGATTCAAGTGAATGCTTCCTGCCTCCCTTCTGCATCCCCTTTACAGAGACCTGTCCCATTGTGTCATTCATTCCCTATTGTCACAGGAGCTTGCTACTCAGCTGCTTTGGGGACCCATTTGGAGTTCCCTGGAGGAGAAATTGTTAGCACATGACTAAGAGGTACCCAGGGACCCCAGATTATTCAGGGTGCAAGCTCTAAAAGGAGTTCTGCCATCTGTGCAGAGAAAGACAAAGGAAGCAGACTCTCCGTTTGAAAGATTTTTAATATTTGGTGTACATAGAGAGAGAGCAAAGAAAGGATTTCAAATAATGGTTTCCCAATAACACCCTAAAAATTACCCATCCCTCATGGCAAATGCCCAAACAGGCCCAGCCTAAAGTGGGGCCACTGAGACCCAAAGCTTACAAGTTGAAGGTACTTCTGGGAGAGAACCATAGAAGGCATTAGGCAGGTCCCAGAGAGCTGGGGTAGAAGGAGAAACTCAAAGTTCAAAATCTGCCACATAATCCAACATAAAACCAAAATCTGCCAAGGACAAGGAATAGCCTCCCCAATGTGTCTCTCGCACACATGACTCTTTCAAGTCGCTCTTCCAAGTGTCTCTACATGTCTCTTCTCCAAGTGCCTCTTCCAAGTACCCCTCATCCCCCAACCCCCACCCCCGCTATTTACATGTCCACCTCACTCCTTCCAGCGGCCCACCACCTTTTGGAAGTCTGGTTCATGGCATGCTGGGACTTGAAATCTGAGGTAGCTGCATATAAGTGGGTGGGGAAAATGGCGCCTCCCTTTCACAGAGATATCTCTGCAACAAAGTGGCCAGATTTGCCTGAAAATACAGGCAGCTCTGCTAGAGGCCTGAGCTTCTCTTGCCACTGTTATCACTGAGGGAGCTCAGATTTAAAGTTCCCCCTCATCCCTCCTTCCCTTCTCCAGCCTCCACGATAAAGAAATAATGATGAGATAGAAATGCTGTGATCCTTGCCTCAGCTTAATTTATAACAGCAGCAACTTTAGTGGTTGAAATGGGGAATGGGAAGTGGAAGTCCAGGGAAACATTTACAGTATTGATTTGGGGCAATAGAAGGCCAAAGAGAATAATCTTTTAACTGTCTTCAAATGTGATAGTACAGGCAGTTCTTTTTTGTGCTTTACCATACAGAATAGAGCCATCAATAGTGCACTGATAATATTCAGCTAAAACACAAGTTTAGGTTAATGATTAAAACATGGACTAGGTTACCAAGGAAGTCTGTGAAATTGCTCTTCCTAAGGTGGAGTAGACAATACCTGCAGGTCATCTATGTGGGCATCCCCCTCATAGAAGATTGTGCAAACACTGGGTTGGACAACCTATCCAGATGGCCAGAATTGTTGGCCCTCGTCACCCTGTTTCCCTGGTGTTGTATCAAATTTGCTAGGTAGGTGGGAAGGCAATATGGTATGGTAGTAAACATCTTGTGTCTGATTTACCATCTCAGTGACCTTGGGCAAGGTCTTAATTTCTCTGAGTGTCAGTTTCCTCTTCAGTACACTAGGGCTAATTGATGATAGTACCTACCTGCTAGGCTGTTGAGAAAATTGAGTTCAAACCTATAAATCTATTAGCCTATACCTGGTACATATGTAGCTAAGTTAATATTAGTTACAATTATTTCCATAAGAATGTTTTATGCTGAACCTGCCCTAATTAAGTTACATGCTGAGCATTGGGGGAGGATTGAAGAACTGTGGTTGAGGCTCCCAACACAGGGATGGGAGGGATTGGGGGTGAAGATTCTGTGCCTTCCTAAGTGAGGTGGGTAGGCCTCCCGGCTAAATACTGATTCTTTCTAAACAGGGAACTATCCTTAAAACAGAAACTGACTAGACCACCAGAGGTAAAGGGCCTCTGACTTTGACCACCCAGAGGGTCTATGCCAGCCAGTTACCTGTTTTCAGTAGAGATGGGGCGTGGGAGGGCTCCCCTTATTGTATGGGGGAAGGGCCACTAGTATCTGTCAGTGTATTTGAGGGAATGCGAGAAAGATACTGTCATAGCCAGACTTCAGTTTTCTAAAATTGGTATGTGTGCATATGAATCACTGGCCTTGGCAATATTCCTAAGGAGGAGATTGACCTCTTTAGGTAAAATGTGGCTATTTTCCTAGGGATTAAGTCTTCTAATTTGGACTCAATGGTGTAGGCTGACCGTGAAAATATCATTTCCTTGAGCAACTCCTGGCCAGGCCTGCTAGTGGGAAGAGAGTTCAGAGTGACAACCCAGGTCTTCTGCCCCCAAAACTAACAGGGCTGAGTTGACTCATAAAGAGTGGGCTGTGTTTACAATTCGAGACACAGGGCAAAGCAGAGAACTGCAGTATCAGGTGACAGTTCAAATCAGGGTGAAAGTGTACAATCCCAGCTGGCAAGCATGGCACACCTTTCTCGATTACAGGAGAAAAGGACCTACAGCTCCCTAAAGGTTTCCCAGGACTCCTGCAATGACCCAGGCACATTAGGGAGTGGAGAACCTTTGCACAACCCTACCATCAGGATATGTGGGTGCATATCTCTAGAGAGCAGATGGAAACCACCCTGTGCCCCAGAACCCATGGTCCTGGCTTGAGGAGGTGTGGTTCCTGAGCTGTGAGCTTGGCACCATCTCAGCCTTCAGGAAAGTACAGCTCAGCCCAAGAGCGATCTGCTCCCTTTCCCCAGCCCCCAAAGTACAGCATCACAGTGTATGCAGCGCTCTGACAGCCCCACTATAGGCTGTGAGTCAGCAGGCAAGAGTTTCCCACACCTCAGCATCCTCAGCTGACATTTCTGGCAGAAAGGAGTGGTAATCAGCCCTGTTTTGCACAAGTTTACCTTATAGGGAAGGGAGGAGGGGCAAAAGGGAGGGAATGTCTTCCTTTGTCCCCACTCACCACAGTCACCTACTTCCTTTCTGTCGCTGAGCCAAAGGACTTCAAGAGCCAGGCCCCCCGCCAGTATGAGTAATGATTTATTATTTTTATCATCATCATCATTTAGGTGAAGTTATATTGCATTGAAAGAGAAAGGTTTGAAGTTTTAAACTCCATTTCTGTAGGAACTCTGACATCTAAATTGATCCAGAAGGATTTGAGTTGGAAGCGATATTTATAGACATGAGGAAACTGAGGTACAAAGCAGTTGTGACTTCAGAGCTCGAGATCATACAGCAAATTTATAGCAGGGAAGCAACAGCACTCAAATATCCTGTTTCCATTTAATTCAGTGTTCTTTCTGCTCTACCATCTTGCCTTCTGAATTCTGCAGTGTCTAATTTCCAGGGAATTTAAAAAACAAAAAACAAAAAAAAAAAATAGACAGCATGAAAACAATGCCACTCTGCAAAACTATCACAAATACCAAAATGTCCAATTCAGCTGTTTATATGCAAAGCTGAATTGCTCAGATTCTGACACACTGTAATGCCAATGTCACTCCAGACACACCATAGTGGCCACCAGGGCCTAGTCTCAGTGACCACCAGGGCCTAGTCTTAGCAGTGTCACAATCACAGCTGCAGATTAATAGCTGTGGGTGAACTGGCACAAGCTATTAGTTGAAGGTTAACAGCTCAGTGAATAACAGGACAGCAGCACTAATCAAATATTTATGGTTGGTGTTCATTATGCACAACTTAACAGCTCTGTGTTGATTTGAATGGTCCACGTTACTAAATAAAGTGTACAAACTAGAGATCAGGCAAAAGTGGAGGCATGGGGGCCTCCCCTGGTGGCGCAGCAGTTGAGCGCTGGGCTGCGAGGCTGCCAGGAGCCTCTGCAGCGCCGTTTCGTTCCCTGGCCACAGGCGAGGGTCCCACACACACACACATAAAAGTGGAGGCCATGCAGTGTGGTCAGGAATGGGAGAGACCAGGCTCTGCCACTTCTATCTACCATGTTTCCTAGACTTTAAAGGCAAGTTCAGGAATGATTAGCCACCTCCACCCTTCTTGGCTTAGGGGAAGCCAGCCAAGAGCTTAACATGGCAACTAAGCACACTCAGGATGCACAGACACTGTCTGATGGTTGACCAGCTGCTGGTGTCAGCACTGTAGGAGGTCTGAGTCTTCACTTAGGCTGACTTTACTGGGCGGAGGCACCAGAAACTCGTTCAGCTGGGGTTTCCTAAGCAGAGATTATAGTAACCATGTAAGGGCTAGGTCCACAGCTGCGCTCTCCCTCTTGTGACCGAACCAAGTGCATGGACTGCAGCGGACCTGTTGGTGCTGCTTTTGCAGGTGACCTACCTGAGATGCAGGGTTATGACTTCTTAGTCAAAGACGTCAAGAAGGGAGAAGGGGAGACTCCAGCCCTGCACCACCCTGGAGAAATAGATTGTTGACGTCTTCCAGGATGACTCAGGGACCACTGGGTGGCATCTGGGAGGGGGGAGAAGAGAGAGGTGCCCCAGCTGATAATTCAAGGACCAAGAATCTGGTTGTGATGCAAATGACAGCACTTACTACAAATGTATTGCCTGCAGAGAATCACCTACTGTTTGCTCAAAGGCAACCTAATTGAGGAATCCTGCCCCCTCCCCCAAATCACTCCCAGGCCCTACCTCAGGGACTAATCCTAAATCAGACTCTGGGTACTGGAAGAATTGCATAGGCCTCAGCTCTGGCTTCTGGTTCACATCTGTGTATGAGCTTCTTGGCAAAGCTGGGACTGAGAAAAGGCAAGTGGAATTTCATTTTATGTTCTGTAACTCCACACATTTCCTGAGCTCAGGAAGCCGTGGAACGACACGGTGGGGTGTGGGTTCCCCATTTATAAAGACCAACCATGTCAGTAAACCACATTTCTAAAATAGTAGTGGGAGGAGAGTAAATCAAGGTCTGGCTTTGGTCTCTTGTTCAGCCCTCATCACTAGCAGCACAGTTTCATTGCCAGGTACTTTTTGAACCCGGTTGAATGTCCAGGCTAGATATTGAGTGGATTATTGCAGAAAATTTCTCATAGTTGTTGATTTTGAATCCTTCATGGGATGACTCCTACAGCTGTGGAATGTCGGTGTGAGCAGGTGCAGAGACTTTGTTTGGTTCCCACCTGTTCCTCGGGCAGGTGGCCCATTCTGCCTAGGCTCTGGCTATCACAGCGGCATAAAGGAACCAACCACGTAGCCCCCTCCCCGGCCTGGACACACGCTTGCTGTGAGGAGTGAGAAATGCAGTGCTGGGTGACTTCTGGGAAGAGCATTGCACATTTACTGGAAGCTGCTGTGAATGGCACGGAAATCTACCACCTCGAGGGGAATCTTGGTGCTGCTCTTACTTGCAGATTGGGGGCTTGGGGGGCTGCACAGGGAATTCTCCCCACTGTTAAGAACATCTTACTTTTCTCATCCCTCTCTCTCCTCAGCTTGCCATGAAGCACAAATGTTGAGAAACTGCGAAACTGCCTATCCTGGTGACCCCCCTAAGAGAAATGGAAGAGTTTGTTCTGCGGTTTTTAAAAGAATTCCGGACCTCTGCTTGCTTCTTTTTTTTCCAGTATATGGACATTTAGGGTTTTTGGTTTTCCTTTCCAGGTGTTAATAGGAAAGAAAAGATGTTGTGTTTATACAGTTCCCTAAAGATCTTGCTAAGAAATGCTGCAAAAGCATCAGCTTCATTTTGGTGTCCCCCCCACCACCCCACCCCCCACCCCCGAGTGTATGTACTTGTTTGTTTTCCTTTTTAAAAATTTTTCATTTGCTAGTTTGAATATGAAACTTGGACTAAATGATACACTGACTGGGTCTAAACTGGCAACATATATTTTGTCCTGACATTAGCAGGAAGATATTTTAATGTGGTCCCATCAGATGTTTTTTTTCCTGGATGGAAATAAAAGTGGAGCAGTGATTGGTGACTCTCAGTCTCCTAGCTACTCTTAATTTGAAGATTAAGAATCTATTACCTAAGTGTGTATTATGGAAAACAGTTGGATCTATCTGGGGAAACAGCAGTCTTGGATTTTGCTCTTATGTCATAATGTTCTGCATAAGCCATCACCAGCATTCAAAAAAAATCAAAATCACGGATAGAAATCTACTTTCTGAGCTACAGTTTAAATACTTCCACTACTTGTTTAAAGGCTGATTATTTAGAACTATCATCTGAAGGATAAACGTTTGAGATTGAAGACCTAAGGAAAAGCCTATTTAAAAACCTCGTGCATTCATGAATGTTTCTTTTGTCATTGCCCTAAACTGAGGTAGCTAGTATTGAAAAGAACTTGGATTTTTATCAAGAATTGATTTGTCCACATAAAGGTTCTGTGTAAACAATAATGTGAAAAGATACGACATTTAAAGTCTTTTTTCTTTTCTTTTAACAAACTCATGTCTAGCTTAGAGACCTTACAGTGTCCTTGAGAAATGGTCTTCACTTTTCTTGAGATCTGAAATTTGGAGATTTGGTGTTATTGCTGTCTACTTATTTAATGTAATTTAAAGTATGGGTTTCTTGACAGATTGCACTTCATGACAATTGCAGCTTGCCTGACCTGACATCATTGCATTGCAGTCGGATTAAATCAAGTTGGTTCACACACCCGATTTTATATTATGCAAGATAGGACTGGGCTTAAATCTGGGCATTCTGTTTCTTAAGGAGTTAAAATGCTAATCCTAAAATCTGTGCTTTTTCTTCATGCAACAAGGAGACAAGCTGCATATCCCAGACACACCCGCGCACCCACCCCCACCCCAGCTCCCACTGTTCTGCACTGACTCTTAAAACACTTCAATGTTCAGGATCTCTTTCTGCTCCTTCCTGCCCGTTGAGCCCATTGAGTCTACGTGTATGGTTGCCTCTTAAATATAAGATAACTTTCAGATTATTTATGCTGATTTATATATCTTAAGTTCTCCTGATAAAGAATTCTCGGGCAGATAAGTGATCTATTGGGTGGGGATGAGGGATATCGTAGACTATATATGTCAAAAGGGAGATAGGATTTCCTGCAGATAAATTTCTGAATCCTCTTAGTGAAATCATCCAGTTCAAGAAAACTCTCTGTAAATTCAGG